GTAAAGTTTAATTTTTTTTCCAAATTTCTTACTTCAGAAAATCTGTACTTAAAAAATTACGTGTTTGTTGTAGTCATGTCTTTCACGCACCGCATTTATTTAACCACATCAAAACAAGCGAGGCGATGCTAGAAGAAACGATGGATAAGGACTTGTGACTGAACGAGTCATGCAGCATATACAAACAACTTCCGCGAACGCTGATCTGCAAAAAATCACTTGCCGAGGCAAGATATACAACGTGAAAAGGGGAAAAACTTTCATACAGAACCAAAACCGAAGACACTCATAATGTAGGGCTCATTAAAAAAGCTAAAAGAACTTGAACTTGAAGCAAGAAATGAAAAGCGGGAACAAAAACATTTATGTTGTCCTTGCGCCCATTTACTATTGCCTTTAGATGAGCGTGGTATACCAATCGATATTTCCCAGACAACAGTCCTTCTCAGGACTGCACTCACCCGGACGATCCCACCACACTTTCGCACGTTACCCCCGGGTTCAAGCCATTTACTGCAAATATTTGAGTCGCCTTGAAAATTCGAGCATCAGACCTTCGGATCCCGCACTGCGATGCACCACTAGTAAGCTACAGAGATTTCATGGTGAAGTCTTGGCGAGCTGGGCCATTACCTTGGTCATATGTGACACCATCTAACTTATTCTGTTAACAATCATTCGTCATTGCTGATCTTAAAATTATGCAGAACGCGTGTCGCTGACTCGACTCCCTGACTGTTATTATTTATACTATAGATTTTTTTTTTAAATAGAGTGATAGAAATAAGCTTCTGTATATTTATTTCAAATAGAGCCTGAGGAAGAAGGCATTTTTAAAGTCACGATCGAGTCACGAAATGGAGACTTCCAGGGGGAATCGGAAATTTTGTACAAATACGCAGATGAAGTAAAGAGGAGATCAATCGTCATTAACCAAGAAAGCACGCGTGTGTTTCTGAAGGCTTTGAACCCATGTCAGTGGGTTAAGTTCAAAGTGGAAGTGCAGAAAGGAACACTTGTGACACTTTAAATACAATATGCGCTGGTAAGTTAACTAGTTCAAACATCTAACCGATTTACCATAATTTCACAATATTAGAGAGGTTAAGCTTGACGTTTACGGGAAACGGCTACTTGACGTTTCAAAATTCGACCGATATGTGTGTTTTTGTCTAATCGAATATGCACATTTTTGTGTTTCTTTCCGAGGTCGACAGAAACGTGAAACCTATTCTGCAAAAACCAAGGTTTCGCCCAAATAATAATCTATCTTTCTACTTTAAATGGATGCCATAATTGTTAAACTATTTTCTTTTCGACTTCTTCGAGTCGTCCTACTTAAAGAGTCACCGTTACAGGACAAAATTGCTTGATTTGTTGAAACTAATAATAGCCCATTTCCGAATTACCCTTAGCCTCATTTTCAAAACGAGTCCTGGTACTCATCCTTTCATATGATTATAAGTTTTCATTCACATGCAAATTAAACTCATTTTCACAAGAATGGTTGAGCACCAGGCCTCGTTTTGAAAAAGAGGCCAAGGGTAATTCGGAAATGGGCTATTAGCAATGCACTTCAAAAAACAATGACCATCACGAAGATCACGGCGCTTAGGTTTTTTCCTTTAAAAACTCCTAACGAAGAACAATACGGCGCTAGCAGAAACTAACGAAACGACTATGTTGAGAGCAGCCTGTAATGAAATTTACCTCAGCGAAAACAACGCCCACACTGCGAAAATATATAGCTACCGGCGTGACGTAATTCTTACATAGCTTCACACTAAAACGCGAACTAAAATTAAACAGAGTTAATAGAGGGAACCCTCTATTAACTCTGCACCGACGCAGCCCCAAACAGTTTCTTTCGAAACTATCAGCCTTTATTCATCTGAGGGTAATTGTTGCCATTTGTGTCGAGATTCCTATGCTCGATTCTTTCTGAATCACGCTTGTTGCCCCCCTAGGAACGAATTCGTTACGGAAGAATGGCAAGAGTAGCACAGACCCGTCATAACTTTAACTTTCTTAGGAACGAGCAACAGACAGTGAATCCGCCAGAGATCTTCATCCGATCGCGTCATGCACAGTTTTTCAGTTCCCGACCATGATGCAACGCGACCAGAGTGCGCACACCGCTGGATTTCATTCCAAACTCCAGAAATATTTTCGGATCAGTGAGCCTTTCTTCCTAGTCCCTAGTCAAATGTGGTGTCGCCATTAGAATAAGATATGTAGCGCCCAAGTGTGTAGATTACTCTGTCAAATTTTGCTTTCCGAAAGTGAAAACGGTTCCAAGCAATAAATAACAGTCGCTATCGGCGAACAGTGATATACGACGTTCCATCCACGCGTATATCGGATGAATTTAGATATGACGTCATTATCTGTTCGTCTTCCAATCTAGTTTTCCTGGTATTCTGTAGCATTTTGGGGGTTTTTGTTCTGTTATTTATATTTACGCACAAAGGTATCGAAAGGTAATTTTTTCAGGATTACTTTTTTCTTTTAATTTTGTCCGAGTCCCATGCACATTGTTGGCAAAAGGGACTTTCCCGTTGCTAAGGATTTATATGACCAAGAAATGACCTTTGTAAAAGATCGATCATGCAAAGAATAACAACTCACCATCACTTTATAAACCTTTTGTTTCATGCTTGCCTGTACTTCTCCTCGTGAAACACCCTGCTGGTAAGTAAATGCTTCAATGTTATCTGACTTAAAGAGGTTTTCCCCCTTTTTCATAGATTTGTTTTCTTCTGAGAAGAAAGAAAAAAGCGAAGCGATGGATAATGTCGCCATTTTGAATCGAATGGGCGCTTGTTTGGAACTGAGATTTTTAGCACCATGGAAACGTGACGTCACCGCTTAAGGACTCTATCGTTATTTCGCTCAAACTTGTGCAACATTTCACTCGCCATTTCCACACCTTATTACTTAACGGTAACAAGGTTTTGGAGTATTAACGAGCATTAGCCGGCATTTGTCCAGCCATTCCAACCATTTGAAAGCAACTTCATACTTCTCAAGATATTTTTCAGGTTAACTTAAATTTTAAGGTAGGCTTACCAGCTTTTCTTGACATATTACAACGTAAGCCGAAGCGTATGTAACATTGCCTTGTACTCAAACGGAGACATACAAACACTACCAGTCGCTTAGTGTATGTCTTAGTTGATTGTTCCCTTTTTTTAGTACTCAGAGTGATCTTCAAAAGCATGAAAGCAATTCTAAATCGGTGCGAATGAAGCATCACGATGTAGACTTTCGTCCGATTAATCACGTCATTTGACATAGCTCCATCTGGGTGTAGAATAACTATGAGACAAAATATTCTTTTCAGTGAACACTATGTAGGAGTGAAAACCTGTCTAGAGCTGCTGGGAAATTAAAGGACAAAGAGGCATCAATTTACGGTAAGCTAAGTAGAGCATTTATTCAACAGTGCACGTAAATTGCCCGCTCGCGAAGTGTTTAGATTGCGGGAGGTACAATTTGAGATGAACGGCCGAGTAGTGCATCCTATTGCTTCATCTGATAATCATTCCAATCGAGCTACCAATCCTCTTTAGTTTTTATTATATGTCATGGCAAACGAGGTCGGCCGCTTGTCTTTCCCTTGGTACCGTAGTAGTCGGGCTTTTCCCTCAAGAACTGGCTTCAAGCTTCTAAACTCTAAGTCCCCAATAGTCGAGCGTTTGTGCTCTTTCTCGATAGGTATCGGTCGACAACATGTAGTAACTCACACTCGTAAGCTTCCCCGTCTCTCTTAACAACTGCTGCGTAGAACTCCTTGAGAATTGTCTTCAGTGCGTCCGGTTTATCCGTTGTTAGCCGTTTTTGGAAGTCTAAGCCTTCCAGACTCTTTGCCAGTTCTTTGTGTTTTCTTGACGGGTGTTATTGTTCTTAGCATTTTCCCTTAAGCTCTGAATTAGGAACGTTATTACTTTCTCCTTTTCCGCCATTTTGTTCTTTTGTGCTTTCGCGACTTTCCTACGCTCAATTTCAAATTTTTGCACTGTTTAAGATTGATTGAAGGGCATTTGCTCCCTGAACGTACTGAAAAATTTTATTGTGTCTTCTTATGCTTGAAACCGCTAAATGAGGACATAGCGGATACGCACCTCCAATTTCTTTATGACACGCTGAGTCCAAAACGCTAAAATTAATTGGCACAATGAGTGAATAACAATTGAAGAAGCAAGGCTAGACAGACATGAAACGAAAATTTATAGTAATTTCGTGATAACATAGCAGAGGCAAATGTCAGTACGTTAGTTTCGATTTCGTCTTGGGTCGAAGTTCTGTTAATAGTATTAACTTGTCCGATTTGAAGCTGCTTTGTATTTCATCAACGTGAAACTTCAGTGTTTCGAATCAGTTCTATTAAGATGCTTGCTTTTTGTTTCGCCGGATAATTTTTGAAGGAATAAGCTGTCAAAGGTGGACATAAACTGATTTATGGAAGCGGGAGGGTTTCCACCAAACCGCGCAATACTCGGGCATTGTCCTTCAGGAGATGACTGAACATAATCACGGAGAATATGTAGACATTAATTATATTTCTGTTATGGAACCTCCAGGAACCTCGTGATTTAGATGTACTTAGCTGTAGGAGACTTGTTATTTTTGGCTTATATGCGTAAACAAAATTTATTCACAACATTTGTTCTACTGCGTGAACTGGATTATATGACTGTTATTTTGTCTCATGTCACCCGGAAAAGCGCGGCCGGGCAGCAGTCAAAGAGTAAGGATGCTTTTATATTGTTATCGGTCTTCTCCTTCATTTTATAATTTTAATATCTACTTGCATTGGTGACCTGTTGGGACCTGACAACGTGTTGAGTGAGATTCATGACTCCGAGGTGTATAATTATCTTTTGGATCTTTTCCAGAACGTTCTTTGCGACTGGTTAATTTCCTCAATCATGGGATAAACAAGCGAACATCAATTAATCACATTTATCTCCAGTTCACCCAGAGTCATACTCGGGTAGATGATAATTAGAGAGAAAATTTGTCAAAGGAGAGGCTTAATTTATCACCTAAAACGGAACGTCATCGGTTATTTCGCGTGGGTAAACATTCCTCGTCTGGGTTTGCATTACAAAGTCGTCACGCGGTAGCATGTCAACTCGTAAAAAAGTTCATTCTCGTGGACATTCTCATAACATTTGTTTTACCTGACCAGTCTGTCGTCAAGTAAACTGAATACCACTGTTTTCCCTCATGTCACTGACCAGATCTAGGCCCATACGCGCTAAAGTAAGCAGCGAGTGAAACCACAGACTCGTCGAAATAACTACTATGCAGTAGTCAAAATCTAATTCTTGACCTTCGATTATCTTGCACATCGCGTCAGCAAAAATGAAAAAAGAAAAAATACATTGATTATAAAATCAAATTAAAGGAGATAACAAGAAACCAGAATTAAGATGATGAACACAAGCCATATTTTTACCGTTTTTTTAAGGTCACCTTTGAAGTTTATCTTTCACTCGCTGAGTGCACAAATAAATATGCAAATTCGAGAACGTTTTTTTGTTACTATTGCTTTGTTTGCTCCGCTAATCATTTTAACGATTCTATTTTTCCAAATCAGTCAAATTCAAAACATCACAGCTTAACAACAACAAAAATCAATGTTACACCGTGGCGAGCTCGTGAATATACTGTGCCAAAAGATAATAAAGAGTTTATAATCTCTCGACTGTGCAGAATATGACTGGAATATACAGTCATTGTACTAAAACCCAATGATCCTGTGATTCCAAAGAGCAAAATTGATCCTCAGCTACTAAAGAGAGTTTGGGTAGCCAGGTCAGGGTTCTGAAAGATGAAAGTAAAAAAAATTGATACTAAAAAATCGATAACCACCCTAATGAAGCTTTATTCATTTTGAAATGTATTTTTTATTTTTCTTTTAAATGAGTCCAACATACTGATAGAGTCAAATAATGCTATGATGGTCGCAGGTGAGCTGGAATTTTGTCAATCAGGCTTGGACAGGATTCAAATCAAATCTGTGCCTGACTTTTCTTTCGAGCTTCAATTCCTGCGATTGGAAAAATTGTAGCTCAACTGCAAGGATCATGGCTTTCTTTGATTCTCAATCCTCAGGTCGAATGATATGGATTTCATATCTCTGATTGGCTCTTGTAGCCAATCAGAACAATGGACTCGCTTCTTATTGCCCACTGGTGTTGTTAGCTATATAAAAAAAGAGAACTAATAATCAATTCAACGCATTTAAGTGAAAAACGAAACTGATAGTTTCAGTAATAATTTTAAGGTTTTGGATGAGATCATGCCAAAAATCGTCGTTACGTTAGCAGTTACCGGAAAATGATACAAATGCCTGCCGTTTGGTATCAGATCTCCAAACAAAGTCTCTTTAAAGGTAAAGGTCTAAGCAATCTAAACATCAGACGTGTTTAGTTACAATTACAATGATAAGGTGAGATCGGACGTCGGCATTATCAGGCGCGTCTGGCAAGCGCTTCAGTTCATGTAACAATAGGGAACTTAAGCAGTCACGACGGCAACGCCACGGAAGACGTCGATTAAACAATGAGTTTCTACTTTTAGTTAGAATTTCAAAAATGGCTGCATGTGTTTACCGTCTCATAGGGCGCCAGACCTCAAACTCAACATAACGCATAAAAGTAGCGTTGAGTTCCAAATGTGAATTAAAATAATTTGCCGCCGCGGTTTCGGTTCGCAGACGACGCAAATTTTGGTGATTTCACGTTGTTGTTTTGCAAAGGACGGCTAAGAAATGTNTATGATGGTGCATTTTTACCTCAGTTTGGATGTAAACACGCTACTCGATTATTTATCACAATACAGTTTCGGTTATTTTGGTTGTAAGTTTGAAATTATCCAAAAGTACACTGATTCTGGAACTGAACTAGGCACCTAGTTTAGGGATAATACTCAAGTCGCTAAATATGTAAACATCTCTGCGGGTCTGCAGCTATTTTCCATAGCCGGAAGCAATTTACAAATGAAGCTCAAATAGATATCACCTTAAGCGATTGTTACATCTAATGCTTTCAACATGAATAAGTTTCAGGCAAATGGAATGTACACGGCTTTGAGGGAATGTCACATGAGCAATAAAGCGAGGAGAGTTATCGCCTCCGAATGACATCTTTTCAAAGAAATTGATTAGCTTTCACGAAGGGGTACTCGTGTAATACAGATATACTTCAATATCACATATTTTTAAGTCACTGATTAAAGGAATATGCTTGAATTTCTGTCTCACTGCCGCAACCGATTTCTATCTGTTTATACATACTTTCTTAATGCTGTGAGTTGTTCTGAAAATTTTTTCTTGTTTTTGTTTTTATTTTGTTTTTGCCTTTTTTTTTTTTCAAATTATGGAATTCTTTATCGGTAGTCACATATCCTTCTCCTACTTAGTCCTCGAACTGCAAAATCTATCACCATGGATGTCCTCGCTAGCGACAAAAGATGGCTTGTGACTCTTTATGCCTTGAACAAGATCGTGGCTCCAGATTTAAAGGATGTTGTGAAACAAGGAATGAACGACCTCTACTTAATCCTAGATGGTCACTTGAAGGGCTTGGCAACACCATGCACCCTAAAAACACTAACATTTGCGATTGTGAACTCCCCAGGAACCGCTGCAAGTCATTCTCCCTTTCTTAAAAATTTGAATTTTGAAAACATTAATAGCAACTTTGATATCCACGGTAAGAAGAAAGGGGCCTACAACTACAATGTCAACAACTTTGTTGATGTTGCGAAGCTGTATCTACCAAACTTCCTCGCCGTCTTCTCTGCATTTGACAAATCCATGGACGTGGCTGCCGCACTTAAACTTTTGGGATGTAAAGAGTACCCAGTAGATATATTCTCCTCTTCCAATCCATTTCTCGACATTCGGTCATTGGCAGATGATGTAAGGGTTAATGTGAGAAATAAAGGAGATCATTTTAAAGAAGGAGAGTGGACCGAAACTTTCTTTCACGAATGCTTTGATAAACTGAGCACCTTAGTCAAATGTCTGCCCCTGCCTGCCACCAGAAAGGACGACCTTCTAGTTCAACTTTCCGAATGGAAAACCGAAGGTAATTGCAAGAAGTAATTCACACTATACAAAAGATAACCAGTAATCTTATCATTCCAACATGTAAGGGATTCTACCTTTTCTTAACTTAATGAGCAAGTAATCATTACAGATTTAAGTGCGCCTTAGCGATCAGGTTATTGCGTGTGCCATCTTGATAGGAAATGTTGTCATTTCCCCTCGTTAGTTACCGAGGTCAAATTCTCTCCCATTTAATCATTGTGTCACATTTTATCCTATTCATTATTATGATCATTATTAGGTTTCAAGAAGATTGTTGATGAAGATTTCAAAGACCTATTGGAGAACTTTCAAAATGGTGAACTTGAAGCAATTAATGAGAAACTGGACCGAATTTCGACCAGGGATGAAAGAGATAGAATGATGGAAATTATGGGAGATAGATTTGATGCGGTGGAAAATTTGATACACACTGTTTTAGACCAGCAACGAGGTAAGTTTTAAGAAAAGAAAGTCATTGGCTTAGTACTATGTTGAGGAGAAGCCTATTCAGAGTTTGAATGATTATCATCAATGTTGAAGCTTTAATAGGGCCTGTAGCTGCTGTTAAACTTTGAGATTTTTCCGATCAGCTAATCGTTATGAATTGGCAATTTGGCTGTTTTTCATTTTTTTGACACTTTTGATCACCAGATCACTTTCGAAATGGGACCGACTTTGAAACCAGTTTCCAAGGGTCCAGCGTTTCACCAACAAACGCCACTTTGACGAAAGGTTGCGAAGCAAGTGATGAGGTAAATGTCAAAGAATGGATACTCTCTGAGAGACTAAAACAGTTTTTTTAAGTGCAAGTGGGAATGTTTTCAATAAGACCCGGCACCCGCCGGAGCTCCAGCTGGTATTCTGTCGTGAATCGCCGGGTATTATTTTACTGCGTTTAAGTCGAATTCAAGCAGAAAAGAAAATGTAAAATAGTAATTAATATATAATTGTGCTATTAACCTCATTCAGATGGTTTGTTTCTGTTTGATTCATTTATTCACTGACGGTTTTTTGGCCGTTCGATGTAACCCAAGCCATTTACTTCTCTTTGTGTCGCTTGTTTTTGCATAAATTAAATGCATAACGCGTAGTAGAAATACACGTCACATCGTCAGTTACCGAGATAACTTCAAAATAACAACGTGCTGAACTAGAATAACCAATCAATTTCCGACAAATGAAACAAAGATAGTTACCTCTCAAGTATTACTTAGAAATCAAACTTGAAAATCAATTTTTCATGCTTGTCGAAAAATTCACACGGGCAAATCAAATTTGGAACTTTTCTGCAAATTTGTCGTGCTCGTATAAAAACACTTCTCTGAGGCTCAACTACAAAGAGAGGAACAAAAACAGCCATTGAACACTTGGAGTCTAATCTTTTGTTGAAATAAATGCTGCATTTGCTGTTAGAAGCGATAAAGTTACTATTTAATTTCGTGTAAAAACTGACACCGTAGCCGCCTCGTCTGTGTATCAAGCAATAGGATCCATGTTAACAAGTAGAAGATATTTCATCTGGAATATCACGAAGAGTTAAACAATTGTTACATAGCAAATGTTGTTGTTGTTATTGTTGATTTTTAAATGAACATTTAATAATCATTTACCGGACTTCAGTCCTGAAAACTCCATCGGAGGTGAACTAATGTGACAAATCATTGCGCAATGCAAATTACATCACGTAGTTTCCAAGAATAACGCGCGATCAAAGTAGACGTGGCAGAGAAGTTTTTGGGGAAGCGTGTACGCCAAACCGGGCTTTTTGAGTGCGGTGCACACAGAGTTACTCCGGAGCAGAAACTGTATGAAGTAATGATCAACAAATGTAATCGCCATTCAACCGCATGCAGGGATGGCGGAGTGCTGAGGGCACTCGCCTTCCACCACTATGGCCCGGGTTCGACTCCCGGACCTGGTGTCACATGTGGGTTGAGTTGTTGGTTCTCGTCCTTGCTCCAAGAGTTTATCTTCGGGTCCTCCGGTTTTCCTCCCTCCGAATAAACCAACATTCAACATTCCAAATTCCAATTCGATCTGGAAACAGTGGACAAGGAAGAGCCACTCAGTGGAATGTCCATTGCTAAATATTTTATTATTTATCTATTATTATTAAATGCAAAGATATTTCATTTAATTTTGTCTAAGTAAAAAGCTAGCATGATTTTATGTGACCCTTTTCATCAAGTCTTCGTGTAGAAGTTTCACAAACTACATGTAACATGACATGTTCGCTTTCTTGAGCAAATTATGTTCCGCAAACAAATATCTGAGCACTTTTTGTACCAAATGAATGCTATCGATCATCGAGCATGTGATGGCGGGTATTCCCCTAGTTAACTAGTAGAAATTTAGCTGTGTAGAACAAACACAGCGGAATGGTTCTTGTTGTAGATCATACAAAACAAAGGAAATGGCTCCTTCAGTCTCCTTCGCATCTGTTCTTTGAGATGTTGCGCGATGCCTCTTTTAGGCTAAGTTAAAGTTGTGTGTCATTCCGAAGAAAGGCTGCGAAGGAGATAACAGCACTCCGAGAAATGTGACCATCAGCAAGTATGTGCACAGTAAGCCAAAGGTGCTCAGGAAAGTAGTCGAAGAAGATTATTTTTGTCCAGATATTACCAATCCAATCACATCCACTTAAGTGTGGAGAAAGCATGGAAGGACAGAAGCAAGCGACATTTACAATTTTTTTTTAATTATAGGAAAATGGAGTTACTTGTTACACATCTGAAAGTTCCGTGAGAGAAGAATTGAACAGTCCTAGTGCAGCTGTGGAAGGTAAATCTGATAGCATAAGTCTTTCTCGGCAGTCATAGTTCCATTGCACACCACACTTATATCGACTTCCAAGTTCTAAAAAGTTTATGGATGCAAGCGAAACAGAATGGACCATTCTGATGAATACATCTGTTGCCATAGGGTTAACTAGTTTATTTTAATTAGTAATATTTTCCTTGTTTCTTTTTACAAACGTGCCGTTATTTATTTGCATATTCTCTTCTCTTATTTTACAGAACTTCCAGAGAATCAGGGGCCACTAGAGGCAAATGGCAGTCCTCAAATCACACCAAATCAAGTTGCTCTTAAGGTAAAAAGTTCACTCACTTTTCCTTCCTCGTAATTCAAGCTAGTAAGGGTCGGCGAACAGCGACTCTGAGGAAATAAGCGAGCAACATTAAGTCAATCGCATAGTGGTGTAATTTTACTAAAATCGGGAGGCTCTGGACATCTTTTTTCATAATTTTCATTGGTAAAAATTGACACGGTGTAGGTTGCCACGTCATCATTTCTCAGCACAGCAAATAATCGGGGTAAAATTGGATTCTGCAGTCTAATCCTGTGGGTGAAGATACTCCTGAGAAGGACTATCGTAGGTGGTGGCGACTGAAATTCGGACAACGTTCCATAGTGGAAGTCGTCATCAGAGTCAAACGAAGAGTAATTGTCAGTCCGGTGTTGTAAGTCCAGGTGGTCAGTTTAGCCGCGATGTTCGGGGCTATAAGACTCACATGTTGTAGGGTGGTTGTTTGGTCAGTTTCGATCCTTTGGTAATGATAGTTAATTAGTTAGTTTGTTTGTTCTTTATGTGAATGTTGTGAATTTGTATGGTGCTGGTAGTTGTTGATATCTGTTGAAGGGAGTCCGTTTCTGATTAGAGCACAAGCTGTTCAGAGTCTACTACCAAGGCATAATGCGTAAAATAATACACAATTTTATTTATGATTGGTTCACTCAATCTGGCCATCAGCCCATAATCTGAATCAGCTTGAATGGAGAATATTCAACCTGAGTATTGATGAACTAACTGACACAGAGAGAGAAGTAACGGTCCCTAGTTTTGATCTTTCTGGAATTTTCTTATTCGTTGACACTTACTAGGATTTGTTTTTTGTTCGCAATTTTCACTATCTTTATTTCGGCTTGGCTCAGAATCTCGTCCAGTACTTGTGTATAAGATTGCGCTGCATGTAAATGATACAATCAGTGGTAGGAACTAGGACATAAAGTATCATGTCAAGAACCTGAAAACGTTTTCTTTCAGTTCCCGATGCCACCATTTTGTATCGTATTAAAAGAAAATCTTAAAGAAGATTCAGGAAAAGCTCGATTCAAAGAATTGGGAGAGGTGAAACTACGCAAGATTGGTGACAACGAATTTTTTGGACGGGCACTTCCAGGTATGTCCATGCATTTTCTTGTGCTTTATAGTTCAAACTTTTCAGAATTAGACGGAAAGGTTTGGGCGTCTGATTGAAGAGAAGAGGGCTGAGTTTTTTTCCATCAGGTTTAAGAAAATAACGAGATATTTGTCATGTACTCTCTGAGAGAGCTTTGTATGAAGTTACCTCAGTAAAAAAGAGCCTCTTTATTTTGATTGATGGGTGATGTTTGAGATTGAAGCTTGCTTGATGAGAGTGAAAGACAAACTTTTTCGGTCAGAGACAAAAACACATTAAAAAGATATATTTTTCATTGTCATAGTGGCGTCACTTTAACATTTCATTCAAAGGGTATCCAGAACGTTTGCCACATCAAACTAATTCAGTGGGCAAGCTACAGGTCTAATCTCGACAACCAACTTTGGTTTGTTGTGAAAACAAGTTAGTCAGAATAACATTTCCTCTTTGATCTCCACGCACATAAAGTAATGTGTTTACCTACCTTGTCGCGGGCGTGGTACAGAGAAATATGTTTGAGTCCTCATGAAAAATTGAGCCTCAGATCTTCGGATTGCGCGCTCCGATGCTTTCCCACCGAGCCCCATAGACTCTATGGTGAGCCAGGCCATTACAAGGGTCATAAGTGACACCACCTTTCTTTAATTTAATCACACAAGTATGCGACATTGCTTATCGTAACAGTATGCAAAGTGCGTGTCACCGTTAACTAGACCTTGATATCTTTTTAAACAGAATCTCCAAGAGAAGGCCTTTTTAAAGTGACAATCGAGTCACAAAATGGAGACTTCCTGGGAGAGACAGAAATCATGTACGTAGATATCGTGGAACAAGTACTGAAAAACGTCGTCACACACCAAGAGAAGATGCCAATGTTCATAAGGGCTGCCTTTACACACCTAAATGCGAATTGTGGTAGAGGTTGCTGTGACAGTCCAAACTCAATCGGCGCGGGTAGGTTAACTAGTCCAACAAAGCATTAATGCATGGCTTAATTTTTTAACCTTTCCAGCCGCCCAACCCTGACAGAATATACCACGTTTTTCTGATCCTATTCCCTTAAATTGTCGAAATCGTTCTTTTGTTCCATTCTATTCATTACCTCTTTGAATGATCTTCCTTGTTCAATTTCCAAGTCAGCTGTTGACATTTTTACAGATGATAATACATTTAGTGAGTCAGTTGGAATCTCAAATCTATCAGTTATCTAACAGCGGTTGCAAGAGAAAATGATTAGTTCCGCCTTTTGGACATCCGAAGATAGAATAACAATTTCGTATTCAATACTTCTAAAACAACATCTCTGCTAGTAACTGGTAAGCGATTAGGGAATAAGGTTCCAGACATAGCTCTTAAAATTCCATGCAGGGGTGGCGAGAATGAGCATGTCACTTAACAGAAGCTACCGGGGTGGAAATATGCAATAAACTGAATTGTTTTCATTGCATTTGGAAGGACTTTTGAAAGTCAATAAGATGCTATCCTGGTTAGACGTTAGAAGTGGTGAAAAACACAACAAATATAGCTGGAGAATCCGTGAGCATGATGCTTTTTTGTGAGGAATGCTCCTGGTTCAAATTTTTATGTAAACGACACAAAAACGTTTAACTGAATATAACCATAAAATTTCCTCTTTTGAGGGAGTTCTAGATCCAAATATTGAAAAACGCAAAGAAAACGTTTTTAACTATCCAAATGGACAATGAATGTTCAATGAAATTAAGAATACATTACAATAACGTGGACTGTATAAGAACTCCGGGTTCCTTGGTGGTTTAATAACACGTGCTGACACGATTGCGATTTCGTCAGAACTGGTCTTATATAATCTATACTCTGTTAGTAGATTTTTTTCTTTTTTCTATTGGTGAGTGCGAAGTAAGTTAGAAATCCCGCTAGCTGATCCAGAAGGAACTCAGTTTCTTCGTTTTGTCTCATCTCAGTCAGAGACTCAGCAGGTATACCAGCCCAGGTGTAAATGTGATTGAAAAGTGTGACTGAGTTTCACTAAATCGAATCTAGATGGGAGAGATCCATCGTTGATTGTTTCCACTTCTTTCCCCCACAATTTGACCTCAGTTGAGGTATTCCGAGAGGTCTACTCGACTTTGGTTTGCGTCACGAATATGAATACCTTCAGCCATATTACTGAGTGTGTGTTACAGATGTAACACACACTAAACATGTCACAAAACAGATCAAGGAGAATGTGGACTTATCCATGCAGAAGTTATGCACGAAGACTTGGCAAATTTGTCACGAACCACTCGCCTGATAAAATGAAGTGATTTAATTTAGAGTCCCATGTAGTGGTTTTATCGGGTTTGGTAGGTTTGAAAGTCATTGGGATACAATTCTGGTTAGACGGTGGAAATGGTGAACAATACAACAAATATAGCCGAAGAACGCACGAGCACGAGTCGAGTTACAAGTAAACCACTAAAGCGTCTAACTGAACGTAAAACTAAACAAACAGTTTGATTATCTTTGACAAAAGTGTCACAGAGGATTGCATTACTTAATAGAATTGAACTTAATTTACCTGGCTTTTACGATGTACAAATTTTTTTTTATTCATTTATTGAGGCAATAATGTTGTATGGATCGTGTGCAAGGAGCGCGGCGTCGTGTGAAACGAGTGTCTAAATTGTAAAGACGGGCAGCTCGTTTTAACTCGCTTTGCAAGTGTGAGAGATAGAAGTGAAGAGTTTCGACAATCCGAGCTCTCACCCAATAGAAGCTACCATCTAGAAATTCTGACTCACACAGAAGAGCCCTTGTATTTGTATTTACGATATTTAAACAGGCCAGCCCAGTTCAGCTTGAAGCTGCTTCAAATGGAGACCTGTACATCCCACCGTCCCACCCCAGGGGAGGACATCCATCACACAGTAATCTCGGGTGTGGGAAATTAAGGTCTCCTACCCCCAACCCTGCAGGAGACGGGAGCTCCATTTATTCGTCCCTATCAGAGAAGACTAGAATATCTAACTATTTATTGATGTTATAGAAAGATAGCAAATTCTTCTCAATTATTTTAAGACCTTGAGTGTTGGTCCGGCCGGGGCTCGAACCCTCGACCTCCCGCACAACAATAAAGGCTGAAAGTTTCTAAAGAAACTGTGGTACTGCGTCGGTGGGGGTAACAAGGTAATTTGGTTATATCAACTAATTTGAAATTGTAAATTGGCCACCGAAACGGATAAAAAATCTGATGAAGGGCTGACGCTCGAAACGTCAGCTTTTTTATTCGTTACGATGACCAATTCACAATTTCAACTTAGTTTATATAACCAAATTACCACCCGCACAACAGTCCAGCGCACTATCCATTGGGCTAATTGGGCGGCGGTTTAAAGCCGTTTTAAAGCCGGCGTTTTTAGCCCTTCTTTATAGGAACAATGACTCAATGTTCCCCCGGTACAACAGAGAAACAGATTGGGGGCAGGACTTTTCTGGTTCATTTTCGAGAATTTTTGCTGGTTTTGACTAAAATTAAATGCCATGCCTACGACGCCCCCTTCCCACCCTCCCCCCCAAAGAATAAGAATGCCATGCGGCAGGAGCCCATCATCATGGCTCCTGCGTGCAGAGCGTCCCTCAAACATTTTGATGTTAACAATCGGATGTTATCGCTTATCGTCAATGTCAAATAAGGTTTCGTTTTACCTGATGCTGACTATAAGTTTTGAATTTTGTGTTTTAGGGCCTTCTGGTGAACAGAAAACATCATTATCAGTTCAGCTGCTGCTGCGACTGCTTTACAAAGCAGCAGAAGTTAATGCTAAATGGTTCATCCATCTTATCTTTAACCTAACTGCTGGAAGAATAGCCTTTGATTCGTACAAAGAAACATCTATGTTACCGGAGGACGTCGCTACCTCACATGGCCACGAAGAAATTGCAGAATACCTCAGGGATGTGAAAAAAAGGTAGAATAAACAAATGAACGCAGATAGTAAACAAACAAACAAACAAATGAAAGAGAACTAATTGAAAGAAAGCAAAACACTAACATAGTACAGATTAGCTTCCGCATTTGATATACGATATTTAGATATTTAGTTCGGTTCTCAATTATCAATACTCAGTCGGCCTCTAAGTACACTTCTTGAAAACAATCGTTGAAATTTTTTGTTTCTCAGTTGAATGGAAAAATATATGCGACAGGAGTCGTCACTTCGTGTACATTTTTAACGGCGGAGAAAGATACGACATTTTGGTTTCTGGAGCATGCAAGTCCTTTCGTAGTCTTAACAATGCTTAGCCATTTGCTTTGATGATCAGTAGACAATGGAGAAAAATTTGGCGAATTCTGTCAGTTTCTTTTGATAACAATAACAAACCCTACAAGAAAGGTCACCAAAAACACAGTCCCTTCACACAATGGCCAATATTTACTTTTGCTGCTGCCGACACACCTCAACTTTAACTCTGAGTAAACTGCAGTAGTAAACGTTATCCTATGTTTCGTGTTTAGATTGTTCTGACCATAGTATAGGGGAATTGAGAATATAAATTTTCTTTCGGTATATATTATTGAGAAAAGTGGAAGGAATAAATAACAGGTACCCGAAAACGCAATCAATCGCACAAGAATAAGTTGAACGTTTCTCGAGCTGACCGCAATTTATAAAATGGGACTGAATTTAATCTTTCTGACCGTTTTCTCACAGATGTTTTTGACGAAACATCATCAACTCCCCAAACTTTGAGCGCACTCATTTCAGCCAACCCAATATTTGTTTGGAATAAACGCTGTATATCTTACCTTTGCATACATGTGGACTACGATGAAGATCAAGTGACTAAGAGAAGAAAAAGAAACCTGACCTCAATTCTACTTGTAGCTCTTTTCAAAAGTTTTGGGAGTTGATGTTTCAGCAAGAGCACGTGTGCAAAAAATGGTAGAAAAAAACTAGATTCGTTCCCATTTTATAAATTGTGGTCAGTTCGAGAAAGTTTTAACCTTCTTGTGTGTTAAAAAAGATATCGTTATCTTGGATCTATCTAATTGCCGTTTAGAAAATTTCGGTATATCAAATCTTTCTTTACTTTTTTGCGCAATGATCGATTTTGAACTGAAATTTCAAGTTAAAAGTATGCGTTTTTTCATCGACAGATTTTCTGTGAATGAGGAAGAGCGAGAAGGGCAATCAAAGCACATTGACTGGAAAGAAATCATACACGCTATCGAAGCAACGCAGACTGAAATTAGTGAGTGTATTTCCCTCAGTCATGTCTGTGCAAGAACGTATTAGGGAGTAGAGGGAACAAATACCTCTTGCTAACCGAGTTCGAGGTCCTTACTGTAAGATACGGACCCAGTTTTTTCAGCTCGGATCTATAGCCCAAGTGTCAAGCGCGCGGGCCATAAATCCGATTGAAAAAAACCAAGTTCTGAAACTTAATATACGAACCGCGAAAACGAGGTTTGTAATATATTTGTTATACCTCTGGGTTAAAATGAGGGGGGAAGCTTTCGATTAAAAGAGAACTTTGAAATTAGCGGACCGTTAATATGGCCCGCCGAATTGACCAATTATTGCACATGGTAACTGAGAGATGTTATAATTCTCAACTTTTTCAATCAATTTTACGACTTTCACTCAGGGAGGTGTTTGGTACATCTCGCGTAAGAGAGCATCTCTCCAGTATGACTCAACGTCAACTTTATTTTTCACCAATAGACATTGATGATCAAACCAATAAAATGGACAGGGATGAAATCAGCGTTGTTCAAGATAGCGCTATAGATGGGCCTGTAAAGACACATCCAGAGGAAAGATTAGAGGGCACTAGGAAATATACCAGCAATATGGAGGAAGAGGTGAGCGATTCGGCTCAAGAGATCGCTCAAGACCACGCTGGTAAGGGTACCATTTGATAGCCCTTTAAAGAATTAAGAATGATAACATTTAACATAAGAATATGCAAGCAGGTTCACACACAATGGCAACATGTCGATTCGAGAAACACTATCATCCTTTGTGATTCGTTTCCAAAAAATCAGTGTCTTCGGTGCATTTCGATCGTTCCAGTTTTGGTGAGTTTTTCCATCGATGATCCATTGTGCACGGCTCTTCTGTTGTTGCATTTCGTGATCATGCGCATTTATCCGACTGGAATTCGTTTTGCATTCTCCCTGTTTATGCTGTCCGGTGAGATCTCCTTTGAATTACTTGTTTGGATGGCGATCACTATCAACTTTTCCAGTTTAATCTCTCTCACCTATGAGCAGGTTGTTTGCAGTGTGATTGTTACTTTTTGGACCGATGGAATTTCAGGTGCATATGATTTCTTCTTGCAGAGATCTTTCAGTCTACGTGTTGTAGACCGCCTGTCTTTTTTACCTGTAGCAGGTGACCTTGTTATGGTATTTGTGTCTGGTTAAGTTCTACCTCCCTTACCACCCCGATCTGTTCATTGTTTAACGGAGCATGCGCGTGTTTGGTATGCTGATTAAACATGTGCCTACGTCAGATGATGACGTTTGTTGATATTGTAAGATTTAATCAATTTCATCCTTAGTCCAATCCTTAATACACTACAATTGCAATTTTGAACAAATAGACTGCCAGCTTCTTAAGAACAAGTCTCTGTAAAAATCAAACATCTCGGGAAACATCCTGTCACTAGGAAATGACACTGCCCGAATCTGCTTTTTGTAAGGAGATGCTTATGTCGTACAAATCCTTGATATGAAAAAAGATAGCGCCGCGCGTAGCATCCTGGGTTAATGTACCACTTCAATGTAAACAAATATGGTCACTGTTAGACAAAGTCGCGAGTTGAAGCTAAATGAAAATGACATTTATGGCGCCAAATTGAGCAAAGACATTGATTTCTTACAGAAAACGGAGGCGATAAGGTGGCTGAAGTGTAGGGGATGTAGAAATTTGGAGCGACCGATGGAAACTTCATGGAGAAATACAGCGTCACGCTATCGTGATAACGTACATGTTTATGACAAATGACCGGTGATAGGATAGTTTTGTATAGATCAGCCGACTTTAACATGTTTCAAATGACATACAAGTATAACAGCGTATCTTCGAAAGGTTTCGGATTGCTCAAATTCCCATGAAAGAAGGTGCGGCACTCGGAATCTGGATGATATGCACATGATTTGAGGTATATGTTTGTAGTTACGCCGAGTAGTCCTCCATGAAGGCTGATCAATATTTTTAAAAGAGGACAACCAGAGGCGAGATTTCTCTTGGGATATCGCTCATCGGATAAAGTTCTTTGAAAGCCTCGCACGTTTCATTTGTCTGAAAACGTTTTCGTTCGTTCGTTCGTTCGTTCGCTTCGTTCGCGAATTGCCCCTGTGGAAAGTAGAGGCCGGCCAGCAGAGCTTTTTACATATTTAAAAACTAGAATATTATAGCCAGCTAGGTGGGTAGTTCCAGTTCCAGAATCGGTGTACGTTTGGAGAAATTCAGATAAACGTTTTCCCTGTTTTACCCTACAACAAAAATGACCGAAACTGTACCGAGATGAATAATCTATTGGTGTACTCACATTCCCTCCCAGGGAAAGTTGAATGCATCAAAGTGAAGACAAATGATGTCACCATGTATGGTCGACGTACCAATTTGTAAAGTTGTATTTACCTTGAGATAGACAAATAAACATTTTACTCTTTTTTGGCGTTGTTTTTGTATGAAAATGAGGCCCCGGACCTCGAACAAGCAGCTCTTGTTACCATGACAACATGAGTGCTCCAACCTTTAAAAAGGGAAGTTTTGTGCATCCCCCTGAGTGCCTAACTGCATGCAAAATTTGAAGGGGGGTTGAAAATTTTCATTTCCCAAGATGTTTGATTGTTACAGAGACTTGTTCTTAAAGCTCTACCAGATATAATGACGGATGTGGTGTTGGCCTCACCACAGAAACCTCTTTTTAGTTTTATGGTGTTGGGCAAACACATCTTTCACTTGAACTAAAGTCGTGTTTTATTTGGGTCTGATAGCGTGCTCAGTGGTGGCGTTCTTTTGCTATTCTTAGCAACTTTTTCAAAGAATAGAAGAGAAAGATTAAAGAGTTGTTTTACGAGAACACAATTGGCAACCACTCGCATGAAGTGCTGATTATCATCACTGGTGAAGTTTAGAAATGCTGTACTGACAATATCAAGTTTCCATTCGTGCCATAAAAGTACGAAATGAATTCACGTTCGTGCCATTTCTTATACTTAAAATATGTTCAATTGAAGTAATAAAGTTTTGCGCTTTTTTCGATTGTAGTGGATAGAGATGAAGACCTTTATGGTATGTCTCAGCAAACGATAACTCAGGGGGCGGGAACAACAACGACTCCGGAATCAAAAGAGGTAGTTTTTTAACTCTACACATGGTACTTCGGACTATTCTTAGTTCACACTTTTGAGTCTCAAAACGGACTGATCAGCTAATCTGTGCCAAAAAGAAATGTTTCGTCCTAAAAATGTAAATGCATGACCGTACCAAAGCCGTGGAATGCTCTATTATTTTCCATGTAGGGTTGTAACTCCTTTACTGCCTGGTACAAGGTGGCTCAATCCATAGTAAAATGGAGCCCACGCTTAATGTGGTACTATTGTGGCCCAAAGCCTACTTTGACAGGTTATGGTTTTTTGCCAGACCTTTTCAGAAAAAAGTCTCCTAGCCATGGTAATTTTATGAAGCAATAATAAATTTCGCTCATTTCATAATTGCCTTTCTATTCCGGCTAGGATGAAAACATCTACACGATCTGCAACCCTATAACCGAAGAAGCAAAGGTAAGTCCAAAACTAAAATACTCAACAGTTCTGGGTCTATCTGTTCCTACTTTAAATTGCTCCTTCTGCAGCTAATACATAGCTAGCACGCCCGGGCAATAGGAGAAGTGCCATGGTTAACATTCCTCTTTTTCGCTTGCGTTCTAAAGTTCAGTACCAAAAACTATCGAGTTCTAGGGAATTTAGAGACTACCACCGACAAGTAAATATTAAGTGATAGTTTAGACGTATTTTAGCTTTCAACTTAATGCAGTGACCAGAATATTTATTCTGGACTCTAAAGCAGTTTCATCGCTTCCTTGAATGATGTGGCGTCCAAAGTGAGCTTCAAAACGTAGTAAAATCATGCGCTTTTTGCTAGCATTGGGAGATGGAAGATGTACTGCGATGTCACTGTTTCCTGACACATTTTGGCCTATTGTTTCTTACTTTTTATTCATCAGGCCTAAAACTGTTTCTCCATTAGATTTACCGCTCATAAAAAGGATTTTTGAAAGCTAAAAGCCGCATTTACCTCAAGCAAAGTCGTGGCCAAGACACTTAGAGGTTGATGGCTAGTTCAAGTGACCAGACAAATAAGTAACTTTGGCAGATAGTCCGTATAAATTGCCTACGATAGTTTCCGTCTAAAATCCTCTATAACTCTCGTTTTACCTGCGATAAGCTGAAAAGTTAACCTGATTTCACAGATCTACAGAGGTGCATTGCACAAAGCTGCAATCAACGGTCGATACGAGATTGTTAAAGTACTCCTCAAAAGTGGCGAAGATGTGAACCAGAAAGATAAGGTTACCTTCTTTATTTATCTTTATATTTTTAGTAAAAGTTGTCTTCGTTCTTTTGTCTCTTCAGTATTATTTTTCAATAAGTATTTGAACTTGCGTCCCATACTTTCGCCTCATTTGCTTTGCAGTTTGGTTTGACGCCCCTTCACCTTGCCGCTTGGTATGGACAGAGAGATGTTGTAAAACTTTTTTTAGAGCACGGTGCAAATGTCAATTCTGTAGACAGGGTAAGTTTCTGAACGTACATTTTTTAATCCTCTTTCTTTTATGTATTTCACATGTTAAGGATGGTTAACTGTATTTTAAGCTGGTTCGTTTATGCAGTTGCAATTTTTTTTTACTGGTGTGGTGAAGTGAAGGATGCATATCCGCTAGCCATTGCATCATACAATATTTATCAAATGAGTGCGATTTACCTGATGAAAAATCTTCTGAAAATCATGTCCGTTCTTCTATTTCCCCTCTTTTTTAGGAGCTTTTTATATTTTCTATAACGACTCACTTCAATCCATAATGGCATTATGGATTGAAGGTTATCTCTTAAATCAAATTTATTCAAATCGTTTTCATATATATCTCAGACGAGTTTAGGTGAGTGCAAAGATGACCTCGGCTTCCGTTGTCGTTGGTTTTATTTAGGACATAAGTTTTTTCTCTCGGCGATGGATGGATCAGATTGATTCATACTCTGGACAACGTTTTCAACCTTTCTTTCCCACATAAACGATCCAGAAAGTCGTTTTTTTCCCTTTTTATGTTACTTGTTGGAGAGGGGGACAATCCAATAGAGTTTTCATCCGATGTGTTCTTAAGACTTATTAAGCAATATATTAAGCATTATAACCCACCTATTAATTTTGGCGCGATTTTATTGGTTACTTTATGTCACGTGGTACAAAATCACAGGACAGTTATCACGCAATAACCGCCGTCCGCGTCGATATTTGTCCTCCGATTTTTTCCGTGGAAAAGAAACATAGTCAATAGAAGAGTTTCAACTTTTCCGTTCTCCTATTTACATGGAAGGAAACCAAACTGGTTTTCTTGAGTCTAGTGATAGTGACATCAAGGAGCTGGTCGCAAAAGTCAAGTTTTTGAAGAGCACGTCGGAATATGTGAACCAAAAGCGCCAAGTTTTCGAGTTTTTGATCTAAGGGGCGTTATGAGAGTTCATTTCAAATGACAGCTTGTCAAGTTTTTATCAGTCACACTGAAAATAAAGTTATTTAAACCAATCAAATATACTTGCTTGCTTGCGTCAATCACGCGCATTCGCCACCAGATCACCACTGGCTTTTTTACTGTGTTTAGGCGCAGTTTAATTACGATGTGAAAATAAATGGGAGGGTTATATAATAAATAAACCCCGTTCTGGCTTGCTGGTATGTCGGCTGATAATGTCCTTGGGTGAGAGACTGTCCTCAAAATTTCATATTTGCCCTCTAAGCTTTGCTTCTCGGCCAAATACTCATTTTTCGGACAATCTCTCAGCCGCGGACATTATCAGCCGAAATACCAGCCGCCCGAAAGGGGTTTATTTACTAAATATCTTTATTATACATTAAGCAATATATATATATATTCATATACATTCAATAGAACATATTCATTATACTTTAAGCAATATATCTCACATCTCACAATTTTAAAAGAGAAACTTCAAATCCCCCCTCATTTCACCTTTTTTTAGGTTAAATTCATTCGCCACAGGAATGGCAGGAGAAAGGAACAGAACTTTCGTTCCAATTGACACCTAACCCCTTTTTTACCCACCCATCCCACCCCGTGGAGGACATCCATCACACAGTAATCTCGTGTGTTGGAAATTAACGTCTCCTACCCCAACCCTGCAGGAGACGGGACCACCATTTATCGTCCCTATCCGAGAAGACTAGAAAGTCTAATCATTTGCAGATATTATAAAAAAGGCAGCACTTTCTTCTCAGTTAATTAAAGACCCTGAGTGTTGGTCCGGCCGGATTTTGAACTAACGATCTCTCGCACAACAGTCCGGCGCTCTACGAATTGAGCTAACCGGGAGGCGGTTAGCTCAATTTGGCGGTTGTTGTAAATTAACGCATTACGAATTAATTTTGGACCTATCCGCGACATATATAAACCTTTTGACACCCTCAAGAAAAAATTTTGGGTTTAAATAGTACTTAACAGTTCTTGTTTTGTGTTGATGTCATGATACGTCTATCATTAAGTTTCAGAAAACAGCCCTTCAAAAAGCTGAACGCAACAACCACCAACACATAGTTGAACTGCTCCTGAGGAATGGCGCTAGGCCCACTTGCAAACAACCGGTAACGTGTTAAAGTGAACTACCTCCATTACGGCATTTTTATGGAATACTTTGCCATGTGAAATTAGAAATGCTCAGTCTGTGTCTGTTTCTAAAAGTAGATTGAAAACTTTTCTTTTTTAGAAAAGCCTTTTATAATTAATATTAGCTGTCTTAAGTGTTAATGTTAAAGTTTTTGTAGGCGCCTTTGAACAGTAGGATACTGGCACGGTATAAATCTTTTATTATTATTATTATTATTATTATTATTATTATTATTATTATTTTTCATCATGAAAATCTCCCCATGCACATGGGGGGAGCCTCTTAAAATGCCTATGACACGATTCTTTTTTTTCGCATTTATAGCTGAATTTAAAATTCGAAACAATCGACCTTGCCGCCAAGCGAGTTCTCCTTTTGCGCATTGAAAGTATGATTTGGCGGCAAAAAGGTGTCCAAATTCGCGTCTGGCCAGTTAGCAAATGGTAAACACCAGAGCTACACTATTCAGTCATGGTGGGTGCACGTGGGATGTTGCAAGCACGAAAGAAGCAAAAGAAACGTGCGAGGCAGTAGCCGAGAGCTACTCTAGCTTTTATGAGTGCTCAGCAAATCTCCCAAGTGCATCCATAACTCAATAGTGTACGCTGTGGTGTTTACCATTTGTTTTATAAAATAACATCAACTCATTGTTGCAAAATAGTTCCCTTTTATTTAAAGGCAACTAACATAAGTTGCACTTTAGGTGGCACACCCATGGGTGCAGTGTAACCCAGTGTTATATTAAGGTAAAGATAACTAACATAGGCTGCACTTTAGGTGGCACACCCATGGGTGCAGTGTAACCTAGTGTTTTATTTAGTTAAAGATAACTAATATAGACTGCACTTTAGGTGGCACACCCATGGGTGCAGTGTAACCCAATGTTTTATTTAGGTAAAGATAACTAACATAGGCTGCACTTTAGGTGGCATACCGATGGGTGCAGTGAAACCCAGTGTTTTATTTAGGTAAAGATAAGTAACATAGATGCCCTTTAGGTGGCACACCCATGGGTGCAGTGTAACCTAGTTTTTTCTTTAGTTAAAGGTAACTGACAGTGGCTGTACTTTAGGTGGCACACCCATTGGTGCAGTGTAACCCAGTGTTGTTTTTTGTGAAAGGTATCAAACATAGGCTGCGCTTTTGGTGGCACACTCATGGTTGCATTGTAACCAAGCGTTTTATTTAGTTAAAGATAACTAACACAGACTGTACTTTAGGTGGTATACCCATGAGTGCAGTGTAACCCTGTGTTTTATTTTGTGAAAGGTATCAAAGATAGGCTGCACTTCAGGTGGCACACTCATGGTTGCATTGTAACCCAGCGTTTTATTTAGTTAAAGATAACCAACAGAGGCTGTACTTTAGGTGGCACACCCATTGGTGCAGTGTAACCCAGTGTTTTATTTTGTGAAAGGTATCAAACATAGGCTGCACTTTAGGTGGCACACCCATGGGTGCATTGTAACCCAGCGTTTTATTTAGTTAAAGACAACTAACATAGACTGTACTTTAGGTGGCATACCCATAAGTGCAGAGTAACCCAGTGTTTTATTTAGGTAGACGTAACTAACATAGGGTGCACTTTAGGTAGCACACCGATGGGTGCAGTGAAATCCAGTGTTTTATTTAGGTAAAGATAACTAACATAGATGCACTTTAGGTGGCACACCCATGGGTGCAGTGTAACTCGGTGTTTTATTGAGGTTAAGATAGACTGCACTTTAGGTGGCACATCCATGGGTGCAGTGTAACTCAGTGATTTATTTGGGTAAAGATAACTAACATAGATGCACTTTAGGTGGCACACCCATGGGTGCAGTGTAACCCAGTGTTTTATTTAGTTAAAGATAACTAACATAGGCTGCACTTTAGGTGGCACACCCATGGGTGCAGTGTAACCCAGTGTTATATTTAGGTATAGATAACTAACATAGGCTGCTCTTTAGGTGGCACATTGATGGGTGCAGTGTAACTTAGTGTTGCTCGTGAGTGACTGTAACCCAGTTTTTTCCAAAGAGTACTGCCCTTTAAGTAGTATAAAGACATGGAGACATTCTCTTCATGAAAATGAAATTTTTGTGAGGAAACATCTCCTCAAGTAGCATAGTAGCACATTGTTGTGAAATTAATGCATTTTTCCAAATGTATAGTACTTTTCAGAAGCTTTTTTCGATTCGATTGCACCATGACTATTTCTTTACCGCTACTCCTCTTGCATTATATTTATTTAAACGGAGACTGTCACGGATTGACATACGCAGAAGCATACACTCTCTCCGAGACTTGTCACGCTCGACCGACATTATGTAAATATCAATGAGCTGAAGAATTCTGTATATATTTTGCATTTAAATCAAGTTTATCCAAAGCAAACACTCACGAAAGTGAATTTTCTTTTACTGAGGAACCTTCGGTGATCTTTTGTAAATATAAAAGTGCTTGTACGACGGAGCGCAAAGAAAATAGTTCTCGTGGGTGCCCGTGCAAAGGGAGAAACGTGCTGTGTACAGATGAATGCAAATGTGGAACAAGCAATAAACCTTGCAGAAACAGTGTATGCATATAAAGTTGAATACATGCATGAAAAGTTGTATACATTCACTCCTTTTGTGGCTTGAATGTCCAAAAAGCGTACGAAATAATTTGTGTATTGCTTTTAAATTTCTTCAGGATTCGAACGAGCAGTCGTCATCTGCCTATGAAAGCCGTAGAGTTCGCCTGAGGCTTGCCTACGATCCAGTTATAATGTGTAGTAGAATAAACGTCTGCCTCGCAAATGCTACAAATGTCTGTAATATCTGGCATTATTTTATTTCCCTATCAGCAGAATCGCTGTCACTGAGAGACTCAACCTGGATCAAATTTTGCCTGCAGCCACAACTTAAATGTCTTTTCTTCCACATAAGTACGCTTATGGTTTCTTAGCCACGCTTTCCTGTATTCCCCTCTGTCTTCAACCTTTCGTTTCCGCCCTGAGTTGATGCGTTTATCGCCATGTCCGGATCCTCCGCTAGACGCCATTTTGAATTTGTGAATACAACTTGAAAAAGCCAGGCTGACTTTTTCAAGTTTCGATCAGCTACACGAGCATGCGTAGACCGTGACTGTGTCCCTTTAAGTGAATAATTTTTATGACAGAAAATGTCCTTCTCTCAATAACATGGCGGAATGATACAATTTACACAAAAATATTACCTTGATACTTTCTGATAGGAAATATTAAATTTTTGACTAGCACAGTTGTGTCTCATTTTGTTTACCCGCCTAATCGATAAACGGACAAAATTGCTCCGATTTTGAGACGACATTACAGGTTTTTGGCAGCGACTGCCGAGAAACTGAATGTGCCGTGGAATCACAACCAATTACGAAAGATTGTTTCTCCCTTCTAGCAGTCATTACAAAGCCGTTTTTTCCTCTCAAAATTGGATGTAGTTCACACATCAAGGTTATAAATTGATAAAAGAAAATTATTTTCAATTATCCCGTTGTCAATAGGTTCTTATTCAAGTCAAATGGGTCCTAAACTTTTTCTCGTGACAGAATCATGGGGAAGAAGTTGATCTTCATTTTAATAAGGACTTACATAGTACTCCGTATCAAAATCGCTGAGATTTTAATTACTAAACTTTCAATGAAACTATTGTAAGATAATTCATTACTTGACGAGAGAGTTCCGCATTAAATGACTTCCGAAATTTATAGGCGGAAAAATTGTTTTTTTCTCTTTTTGGATTAGATTGAAGTTAGACATTTTACCTCACGTTTACAAAGAGAAAGTTTTAAAATCTCAAAAAGCGTCCGATTTATTTAGGAATTGTATTTTGAAATCAAATTTAATAAATTACCT